CAGACCTTCAAGTATAATTGTTGGTATGGCCAACAAACAGAAGGTAAAACCACTTGGTGTGTTTGACAAAGTTGTGGTAAGTGTGAGAGGTGTGCAAACCTTACTTTCCTTCCAAGTACTCAAGGAAGCTAGTTATGATTTGCTGTTGGGACGTCCTTGGTTGAGGGCGGTGAGAACTACTGATCGATGGCACAAGGGCTATCTGAGGATAGGCCCAAAGAACCATCAGATGAAGGTTCCTTTGACAGGAGGAGGAAGTTCTCTTACCGACTCAGATAGACCAACCGACGAATATTGGGAATCTGAGAATGAGGAGAAAGGCAGTTTTTCAGAAGTTGACACCGACATGTCAACTTCTGATCAAGAAACATCGTCAGACGACTCTTCAGATGATGATGTACAAGTTCAAGTGGTTGCTGCCATGGAGTTGCTTTCTAGACCGGGGGTGAAGAAAGATCCGGACAAAGTGGAGATGACTGAGGAGGAGGTGTGTCGAAGACTTTCCACCCTCAAGTTTGGTCTAAATGTTACCATGGAGGAGAAGGCAAGATTTTTGGATATATTTTGCAAATATATCCATGTCTTTGCCTTTAGTTACAAAGATTTGAAGCATGTGACACTTGAAACTCATCACATTGAGTTGGAGGAGAAAGCTCGCCTTATTCGGCAGAAGCAACAACGAATCAATCCTCCTAGAGCTGTGGTGGTAAAAGAGGAGATTGACAAGCTGAGGGAGGCTGGCTTCATCTATGAGGTAGAAAATTCGGAATGGGTGTCTCCTATTGTGATAGTGAAGAAAAAGAATGGTAAACTACGTGTATGTGTAGATTACAAGAAGTTGAATACTGTCACAAAGAAGGACTACTATCCTTTACCTTTTATAGATGAAATTTTAGAGGAGGTAGCAGGCCATGAGTGGTATAGTTTTGGAGATGGTTATAGTGGCTATAACCAAATCCAAATTGCTTCAGAGGATCAATTGAAAACTACCTTTACCACACCATGGGGAACTTTTGCCTTTAGAGTAATGCCATTTGGTCTACGTAATGCTCCAGCCACTTTCCAAAGGTTCATGAATAGGGTGTTTGAACCTTTCATTGGAAAGTTTGTGAGAGATTTCATAGATGACTTTTATGTGTACGGGAAGAAGGAGGATCATTTTGATCATTTGATCAAAATACTCCAACGTTTGGAGGAAGCCAAAGCTTCACTCAATCCAGAAAAATGCATTTTTGGATGTGAGGAAGGCTTATTGTTGGGGCACATCATTTCCAAGAATGGTATAGCTGTGGATCCAAAGAAGGTGACGAGGATCATGGAGTTACCTTTTCCGGTGACGTTGACCAAGTTGAGACAATTCCTTGGTATGGTGGGGAACTATCGGAGGTTCATCTTGTCCTTCTCCAACAAAGCTCATGCCTTGACGAGTTACATGAAGAAGGGGACCAAATACGAGCTCATCTTCAATGATAAAGAGGCGAAGTTGGCGTTTGAGGCACTCAAGAAGGCGTTGGTGACGGCTCCAATTTTGGCGAAACCTGATTAGGGTAAACCTTTTCTTCTGTATACAGCTGCATCAAATATTGCTGTAGGATGCACCTTGAGTCAATTTGATGATGAAAAGCATGATCATCCAATTGCCTCTACTAGTAGACAGATGGTACAAGCAGAGAAGAATTATTCAATGACCGAAAGGGAGGCTTTAGCTGTCATCTTTTCACTTAAGAAGTTTCGACACTATCTTTTGGGTGGAAAATTCACTCTAGTGACTGATCATAAGGCCTTGAAATATATTTTCAACAAGCCTAATGCTGAGGGGAGGATAGCTAGATGGAAACTACTACTAGCGGAATTTGATTATACCATTGAGGATTGACCGGGAAAGAAGCATGCTAATGCGGATTTGTTTTCAAGAGTTTATGATGAGGGAGGAGATCAATCTGTAAATGACACTTTTCCGGACGAAGATTTGTTGGTCATGGACACGGTGACATTGGTACCAGAGGAGTAAAAGGAGATTTGAGAGTTCATTTCCAAAGGAGAATTTCCTCAAGGTATGCATTCAAGAGAAAAGAATGCATTAGTAAAAAGATGTCAACCTTATATGATCATTGAGAAGGTGTTATTTCATCAAGGAGCTGACGGTTTGCTACGACGAGCTGTTGGAAGAGGCAAAGCATTGCAACTTATGAAAGAGTTTCACGAAGGTGCCATGTGTGGAGGACATTTTGCGGGGAAGGTAACAGCCTTCAAGATCCTTAATGCTGGATATCATTGGAAGGGTATTTTCAAAGATTGTGTGGAATTTTGCAAGAGTTGTGATGTGTGTCAAGCTTTTGCTAAAAAGTCCATGAAAACGCCTTCTTTGATTTCAGTTCCAATGTTAGGTCCTTTTGAAAAATGGGGAATAGATTTTGTAGGTCCTTTGAATCTTACTCCTCTTGGAAATAAGTTCATTGTGATAGCTATAGATTATCTTACCAAGTGGGTAGAGGCAAGACCACTAAAATCTACTAATGAGAAGGAGGTTGGTAGGTTTTTTATGAGAAAATCATAACCAGATTTGGTTGTCCTTTGGAGTTAGTGTCGGATAGAGGAGGAGAGTTTGTGGGAAGTATAATCCAAGCAATGTTAGATCATTTTTCCATCAAGTCTAGAGTGACCACTTCCTACAAACCCAATGCTAATGGGTTGGCGGAGCGGACCAACTACACTGTGTATGATGTTGGCCAAGGATGCAGACATGGACGGGAGCAAGCAAAACTGGGACAAGAGGTTGCATGCTATCTTGTGGGAGTATCGAACGACTTGGAAAACATCTACCGGATATTCACCTTTTCGGATAGAGTATGGAGTTGAGTCAAAACTCCCAATACAATTTGACTTGACTACTTTCATGACAATCCAGCAAAGGTTGAAGAAATCAAATGGAGCAGAAGCCATCAAGTCTCGCCAACAACAATTGATGGAGTTGGAGGAAGCTCGAGCACTAACCATGGTACGAGTGGAGCGGGTTCAACAGTTGCAGAAGAAGTATCACAACAAACGAAGTGGAAACCAGAACTTGAAGCCATTCAAGGAAGGTGATTGGGTGATGCTCTTTGATGCAATTAGATACAAGAGAGCTAGGAAAAAGTTTCTTCCTAAGTATTTTGGAACTTTCATAGTTGAGAAGGTGTTGGGAAACTTTACTTATGATATCAAGGAGTTAGGAGGACGTCACTTCGATTGAGTCAACCACGACAAGTTGAAATTATTCCATCGAAGATCAGATTCTTTCACTTCGAGGGCGTAGTGAAATCTTGGTCCGGGGGTAAATGTAAGACCAGATATTGCATGTGTGAAATAAAACTAGAATTAGTCAAGGAGTTAATAATGGTTAGGATAGTTATGACTAAATCTAGCTAGTTATGACTAAGTCTAACTAGTTTGACTTAGTCATAACTAGTTTAGCTATAATGTCTATACTTGGCAGAATAACTAGAGAAGTTCTAGAAGATTTGAGTGAGCATTTCTATTTTGTCTTGTACAAAAGTCTAGATTCCAAGAGAAAAGACTTTTGAACTTCATGTTTAGTTTTGATTGGTTTGACTAAAGTAAGAAGTATTCCATTGGTTAGACTAAGTCTAATGTTGACTTAGTGGAAAGTGGAAGTTCTAGAAGTTGGAAAGGCACAAATGGCATGTCGCCACCTCAATCTAGGGATTAGTAAACATCTAGAAGGTTTAGGGGGCCAATGGCATGTTGCCACATATTGATAACTAGTCAACCTTACTATGGTTTATCTTCGTAAAAGTAAGTTAGATAGAAATTACCATTTGTTACTATGGTAAATTCTCAAGTAGTATATATAGAGAGGTAGGGAAGAGCCTCTCAAGCAAGTTTGGAGAGTTCATATGTAGAGACTTGTTTCATATATGAAAGAGTGACGAATTTTCAGTACCTTGGAGTGTCGATGAGTGTATGAGTTGGAGTGATACCTTGAGAGATTGTGTGAGAGGGTGTTTAGCTTATGAGTATGATGCGGAATCCTAGTCTTCTAGAATCATGATGAGCTACCGAAAAGCCATCTGAGGTAAACCTGAGTGAGAGTCAGCCCGGAGGTTGAAGAACAGGAATCTCTACGTCCTTACATCATATTATTGCTAGGCATAGAACTGGATCTCATAGGCTTGGAATTGAGGAAGGACGTTGGCTTAATATTGATAGGAATGAACGTATTTTTAGGCTATGTGATGGAAGAGAAGTTGAGGATGAAGAGCATGTATTTCTTACTTGAATAGATATGTAGAGATTAGGGTGACTCATAATTAGCGGTCGGCCCGGCTCGGTTCGGTTCAGCTCGGCTGGAGCCGTTAGTACATGGAGCCGGCTCAGCTCGGAGCCGATCGCCATGACAGAAGCCGGCTCGGGAGCCGGCTCGACTAAGTCATAGCCTAGCCGGTCTAGAGCCGGCTCGACTACGTCGGCTGAGTCCAGTCGACTGAGCCGGCTCCGGAGCCGCTCTCGCAGAGTCGAGCCGGCTCCGAAGCCGGCCCGACTAAGTCGTAGCCGAGCCGGTCTGAAGCCGGCTCAAGCCGGCTCCGCCGAAGCCGGGCGGACCCCTACTCATAATATAGATGTAGAGAATTTTTATTCTTTGTTACATTTAGTTCCTTTTGATTTAGGTTGTTATATTAGGGACATTATTAGTTATCATTCTAGTGCTCTTGACACTAGCTAGGGATTGGCCTTTGGGGTCTTTTCCCTTGTTTGTGATTTTCGCTTGTATTGTGTTTTTCAGCCTTTTGACACTTTGGGTCCCCCGGGCTTGATCTATTACCATTTACCATTTATCATGCTTTTTTAGAAAGATTTGAATGCATACCGAACTAACGGTCTGCATGCGTTGCATTTGATTTTTTGAGTCCGCCTTTTTGAAGACTTTTATTTCACTTATTGATGATTCATGGAACAATGAAGCTAAAAGTTGGAAGAAGTGCTTTGATCACGAGTTGTTGGTGAAACTATTAACTCTGTATATATCGATTCTGAATGGAGCGAGATAACTTCGAAGCAGTTTTCTCACCACTCTAACAAACTATTCTGGAACTTCATTTGCTCTGTAGGTTTATGGAATGTTGATGGCTAGATCAACCTACGAAGGGATGATCCTTGCTAATCCTGAGAAAAGGCCATTTGTGTTAACCAGAGCAGGTCATGTTGGAAGCCAAAGATACGCTGCCACATGGACCGGTGACTATCTTTCAAGTTGGATACATCTTTGAATGAGTATACCAATGTCACTAAACTTCGTACTGTATCCAGTCCCACGCAAGTTTGGAAATGGGGGTTATCAAATGTCACATCTTCTATGGATTCAGAATCGTGTAGGAAAGTCATGTTGCACAAGAAACCTTACCTCGAAGGAAAAAGAATGGTATTCAACTAATACCACCATAAACATCTGTTTTTCAGGGTTTAAGTGGACAACCATTCTCCGGGCCTGATATTGGTGGTTTTGGTGGAAACGCTACACCTCAAATGTTTGCGCGGTGGATGGGTATTGGGGCCATGCTTCCATTTGCACGTGGCCATTCAGAGAAAGGGACCGTGGATCATGAACCCTGGGAATTTGTGAAAGAGGTGGGTTAATCATTTCATGATGAACCAATCTGTTTGATGTCGATGGTTGAATTTAGTAGGTCAGACCTGGATGTGTGCCCTCCCTGTACATTTCGTTACGCTGACTCGTACCAGGGATAGATGAGTAATGGTTTTGAAAGTGTACAACTGTGTTTGTGATTATTGGAAGGTAACAAACTTCGCAAATCTGGACTCTTTCGCAGTGTGAAGACGTCTACAGGCAGGCACTGTACAGGAGATATCGGATACTGCCGAACCTATATACTCTATTTTGCAAGGCACATACGACAGGAGTTCCGATAATGTCTCCTTTGTTCTTCGCTGGTTAGTTTCAAGCCGACTCTAGTACTCCCTGCGAGCAAGAATTTTATCGATGAGTTGGAGCTTGGTCTATACTGGCCGTAATTGGACTTTATACTAAAAGTTTTGGAAACATGTGTTACAGATCCTAAAGATGAGAAACTTCGTAAGGTGGATGACAGTTTTCTTCTGGGACCTCTCCTGGTTGCAGCATGGTCAGAACTTTCTACCCTTTTGCTAAGAAAGAAGAAAGCAGTTAAAGTTGAAATGATCGATTTTTTTTTGGAATCTGAAGTAAAAGCTGAACAAAAGTTAGTACTGTTCAAGAAAGCAGAGGTTGTTCAAGTGTCAGTATATCTCTCTTCGCTGATATTATAGTGGTGCATGTGCAGTACTAAAGCTGGCAAGAAACCTGATCCAAAGAAGACTGTCCTACCAAATGGGTTGTGGCAGCTCTTTGATTTCGATGACTCACATCCGGTGAGTTAACGTTTCACTGAAACCGGGACGAAAACGGGAAGACCTGATTTCTTATTGCAACATCTTACGCAGTGTTCGTAGGACTGAGTGTCTCGTAGACTATCAGATCGTTTCATACTGTGTACGAAACAACCTTGTCATGCTCGTAATGAACAAATACATTGTCATGTCTAAATGCTCAGCCATCCAGGGACTCTTTCTTCCAGCATCTTCTGAGAAAAGTTTTCACCTGCCATTTTGAATCGAGATGGTATTTGTAGAACGTGTACATGTGATTGAACAATGTATGTAATACACATAGCAGCACCTCCGTGTCTTTCACTTCTTTCAGAAATTTATTTGTGACTTGTTTTTAATTCAATTTCAGGATTTACCGTTACTGTTCCTCAAGGGAGGATCTATCATCCCGACTGGTCAGGTTTCACAGTACACGGGTGATGTCAGTGAGAATGATCCCATCACACTCATCATAGCTCTTGAGGAAGAAGGTTAGTGGTCCGACATTCTGATGTTATTCTAATAGGTGCTTCAATTACATGCACGCACGTTTCTCTTTTCGGTGATTATTGCATCTAGAACTACTGATACATATGCATGCAGAAGACCAAATCTTCCAGTGAACTTCGTCTAGGCTTGATACATATATCACATGAACTGCATATCGGCAAGGCTTTACATTCTCAGCTATAATTTGCTGATATGCTTGAGTTGTTGATTGTTGACTTGCAGGAAAAGCAGAAGGGACACTCTACGAGGATGATGGAGATAGTTTTGAATATAAAAAAGGACAGTTCTTGCTTACTCGTTACTCTGCTGCCCTGCTCTCCAGCTCCACCGGAGGTTCAAGTGGAAAAAAGATCGTCATCAAAATCACCCAGTCGGATGGTTATCTTAGCAGGCCCAAGCGTCCTCTCAAAGTGCGCATTTTGCTCGCAAATAAAGCGGAGGTAAGCTATGTATCATTGCTTTACTTGGCATGAGACCGTCAATCCTCGACGAATAACTGGAGACGTTTGTGGGGACAGCTGTAAAAGAATATTTTGAAGAGAATCGAAGGAAAACTTGTGAATGAACAGCTTCTGAAATATATGTTAACGAGTGTTTTCACCTTCTTGGCCGCAGCTTGAGGGTGAAGGTGTCGATGGCGAGGAATTGACTGTCGACCTGCCTTCACGACTCGACATGGCCCAGATCACGACTCTCATCCAACAGCAGGATCTGCCAAAGGAAGGTTGTTCATATAAGCTCGTCATTGTATTTAAATTTTTTTTCACAGTTGTGGGCTTCAGCGTGGTGATTTTTCATTATCAATAAACTAATGGAGCAGTGAAGAGACTCTGGTAGCTCAAGGGTGATGTGTTCTGCCGCTCAGACGCTGTGGAAAACTCTCCTAGTGTTGCATTTGTGACTCAGAGCAGATGTAACTCCTATTACTCGTGAAAACTCCATAATTGCAGATGATGAGAATATTCCAGATGAAGCCGATCACAAGACCTCAGAGAGCCTTGCAGTTCCTCCAACGACTCTGCTGGATCTGAAAATTGGTGACTGGTCCCTAAAAGTGGCACCCTGGATTGGTGGTCGGATTGTTTCTATGATCCACGAGCCCACAGGTACAAACACTATGAAGTTTTCTACTTTTGTGAATTTTTTTTACGAAGCTAAAATTTCGAGGTCCTCTAATTTGATGCTGCATTTCAAGGATACATACACTTACAAATCCATTCATTCCAATACAGAGACCGAATGGCTGGAAGGAAAACTGGAGCATGGAGCGTATGAAGAGTACAGTGGGGTCGAATATCGATCTCCTGGCTGTGTGGAACAGTATGATGTCAAGTAAGGAATCAAAACCATGCTGTAAAGTAGAAAGTATTCTTGTACACCTTGAATGCTTCCTGGATTAATTCGTCGAACGATATATATCTAAGCCTCTACATGCGTCTGTGCAGAAAGGAGCAGTCAGAAATAGAAGGAACAGACGGTGTAGTTATGGAAGGTGACATTGGTGGAGGATTGGTGATGTGTCGTCAAATTGGCGGCAAGGGAGCTGATTCAAAAATAGTACAGATAAGCTCCTCAATTGAGGCTAGATCTGTTGGTGCTGGTTCAGGTGGATTTTCTAGGTAAGCATGCTTATTTCCCTATTATGAAAATCATCTAGTGTTTAAGTGTTTAGTGTTCATTGTGAGCCCGGCATGTACGTCACAGTTAACGCTGACAGTAGGGGGATGGAGGCAGAAGAACGGGCAGGTGGTGTGAAAAAGGGTGGAGACATTAAGCTTTCAACTCATTTACTTTCAACACATTCTTTGTCATTCAGGTTGGTGTGTTTGAGGGTGCATCCATCTTTCAAAGTTGCCGCCTATGAACTGGCATTGGTGAAGTTGACATCCATCAGTGGAGAAGCTCGAGAAATAGTCCCGAAGCCCGGCGATATAATGTTGACAGCAGACGACTGACCAAATGGTGAGTCTTGGCCCCCACTCCTGCCTCACCTTATAACAAGTTGCAATTTCGTGTGCATCACCAATTTCGAAGAGCTGACTCAGTGGTACTACTTACAGCGGTTAATACTAAAGGAACGAAGTTTCACCAATATCTAGAAGCTCTTGACACGCGCCTGTTGCATGGATGCAGGAGAGTGGGCATTCTTAGACAAAGAGAACGGAGTGGCCATCGTGAACAGATTCAACCCAGAGCAGGTGTTCACGTGTGTAATCCACTGGTCAGCAGGCATTTGCAACTTGGAGCTTTGGTCTGAGGAAAGGCCCGTTTCCAAGAAACACCTCTTCAGATATGTCATAAATATGAGACTGTCAGTGAGCAGGAGTTGCTTCAGTCTCAGCCTTGAGCGTGGCGGCCTCCACGATCTTCTGACTCTTGTTCTATGGGAAGGTTTGAGAGCCGACCTCATCGTTTTGCCCGGATCGAGTTGTGTCGTGGTATTAAGCCTGTCAATTGTTGAAGAGCTTGACTGTTAACAGGCTTGAGCAAATAGCATAATTCTGTACAGCTGTACACCGTTGGAATGTAAATCTTTGAGTAATATTCTTTGCAGTAAAATCATCGAAATTCAAACTTTTCATCGTCTCCAGTTTCTGGTGATCTGAAAGATATGATTGTTAGCCGGTCTCTTTCGATTCTGCTTGGTGTTAGATATGCTTTTTGTCATAGAAATAACCGTCGAGTGACTACTTCTTGCCGGAGATCAGACAAGTGAGTTGTTGGATGACTAAGATGTGAGGTTGGTGATAGTCTACTGAAAGAGTGTATGAAAAGGTGTAAGCAAAGTATGACGAGTGTAAGACAGTTCGGATGATTCGTGGTCTTAAGGAAACACCATTTGGAAGTGCAAACACCATTTCATTGCAATTGCAGAAACCTAACATGTGGTCATTTCTCAAAGGAGCGAAGTAGTGGACTAAGATCTCATATTCTTATATCGGTTGTCTCCGAAGGGACATCCGATAAAATTATTAAGCGTGATCTGCTCAATGAACTTGACATGAATATCTGATGCGTTGCTTGATGAGACAAAAACTAGTTGAAGACAAGTTAAACAAAGTCCGAATATACAGCAGCACATGTTTCTAAACATGAGTTCTTACTATTGTGAGAAGGAAATTGAAAGAAGATTAATATCGAGACAAATGAAACAATTAACAAGCACATGTTTCTCTAAACATGAGTTCTTACTATTGTGAGAAGAAAATTGACCTCCTGTCTGTGAATTGATCTCCTGTCGTAAAGTTTCACTACATTATATCAATTATAATTTATATTAAATCATGGATTGAATGATCTGTAGAACACAAATCATGTTTAATCATAAGCATAAATACTCAATAAAACATACATACTAAATGTATTTACAAGGATATGCGTCGAACAAACTGGACGTGGCATCTACTCAAAGCTCTGAGCCTTTATATTACAATGACGCTGACAAAAGCTTCCGAGGGAAGTGTGATATACTGCAATCATGAATCGTCGTGGAATCTGGCCTTCCGAGGGCTCTATTTTACTCAGTCCAATCGGAACAACTCCGTGCAGACAACGCTCTGCTATCTAGAGGCCCAGTAGCACATTTGTATGGCGCACAATGATTCCTCAAAAAATCCCATGATGACAAAAAAAAACTCTTAATGATTTATTTGATGGGACCCAAAGGGTTTCAATATACCCGATGCTACCTTGACGGCCATAGTCGGAGATGTTCCAATACGATATGGGATTATTTCGGTAATCTTTTTTTTCCGGATGCAGTTATGGCAAGACTCTATAGGAAGTATTTCAGAATCATGGTGCCCTTTGCTCGAACTCGTATTTCTGATACTAGTTCGTAGTGTATATGAAGATGAAGTCCGACGGAAGCATTTCGTGGCGGTTGAGGGCCAGATTTTGCAGGCTTCGCTCGGTTGGTTTTGAATCTACCAAAGCAATCGAACACACTGAATGCTGCGATGTTCCGATAAATTCTTGCCGCCATACCTTCTCTCGATGCCTATCCGAATGTCCTGGTGGTCATCGTCGTCGGAAGCGGGAGGCATTTTTGCGCATGAATCGACTTGCAGTTTTGATAGACCGATTCTCTACAGTTCTTTTCTGCTCGTGGTGCCGGTCGTCTAGGGGTTGAAAGAGAGAGGTTCAGAAGGCTCGTCAAGTGGCAGCAAGACGCTTTCAACTCTTTCCAGCATTGTAAAAATCATTTCATCGCTGCCAAATTATTCTCGAGAAATAATATTTTGGCCCAACAAAGGGCATAAACTCTTCACACTATAATGTAAAGTATCGGGTTATAAGAATTGTTATTGTAACAATGTTGAACGTGACATGCATTGCAGTCAAATGTGGTCCTATCATATACAATGAAACGTGGTGGGTCCCATCAAGTGATTTGAGTCTCCCGCAGTCCCATCAAGTAATTACAATGAAACTTCTCCAATCCGGAGACAAAAGCTTCCAAGGGGAGTAGTACTCCTGCAATCATGAATCGTCGTGGAATCTGGCTCTACTTGACACAGTCCAATTGGAACAACTCAGTGCAGACAACGCTGTGCTATCTAGAGGCCCAGCAGCAGTAGCACATGTGTCTGGCGGACAACGAGTCCCCATTCATGCGGAATCTCGTAAGCCCCGGCTGGACCCCGGGGTCCAGCCCTGTGCAAAGCGAGCAGTCGTGTACGCAGCAGTCAGCTCCTGAATGATTCAGTCTATGTCGGTTCGTTGAACACTCCGTATCTACTGTGTTTGAAATGGCGAGCGAAATCTTGATTATGCAGTAGCCAGTGTCGTGCGCAGGGCATTGTTCTCAGCGCTCCGATCACGACCCCGATCACAATTACGACCCCGATCGCCGTTCCGATCTCAAATGCTCGCCAGAATGTACCATCCAGGAGCTCGGACGACGGAGCCCCGAGTGTGGCCGAGCTTCCGCTTGCGTTGCTGTCTTGCGCCACACAAGTGGTCTCGAGCGGGGGCCCGCAGAGCTTATCGTTCCCGGGCTTGAAGGACGAATTGGCATACCTCGTGGAGAAAGCATCCGCCGTGGGGATCTCGCCCTCGAGGAAGTTGTAGGAGAGATTCAGATAGCTCAAGCTGGGCCTGCTCAGCGCCGCAGGAATCTTCCCCGTGAGATAGTTGGCCGACAAATCCAGCGACTGGAGACGCAGCAGATCTCCGAGCTCCTGAGGGATTTCGCCCGAGAAATTATTGTGCTTCAGATTCAAGTACGTCAACCCGCGCAGCTCTCCAAGCGCGTACGGGAGCCTCCCGGAGAGCTGGTTGTATGACAGGTCGATGGAGAACAAAGTCTCGAGGACGTACTCGAGTTCGAGTCTCGAACCTTTGGCCTCAATGGAGATTTGCTCGAGCAATTTCTTCCCCTGAACCTCGACACCGGTCGAGGTGATGATGATGCTATCGCTGACACTGATGCCTCCCCCGGCGTCGTCTGGTGACGCTTCGAGGCGACTAAAGCCTTCCAACCCCGAGAGATTGGTGGGCCAGACTCCCGTGAATGAGTTGTGCGACAAGTCGAGCACTTGCAGCTCCGGAAGCTTCCAGATCCAGCCGGGCACGCGGCCGCCGAATTTGTTGGATGCTAATTTCAATACTCGCAATTCGCGCAGCACCAGTTGAGAGTACTCGTAGTTGTCGGGGAGCTCCTCTGAGAACTGATTGCTGCTCAGGTCCAGGAGCTTCAGATCCGTGCAGTTGTACACGCTGACGGGAAACTCTCCGCCCAGCTGGTTCCCGTTGACAGAGAAACTCTCGAGGGATCGCAGCTGCAAGAAGTCAATCTCAGTGACTGTGCCCGTGAGCTTGTTGTTGCTCAGCCTGATGTTTCTCAGCGAGCTACAGTTCGCCAGAGACGCGGGAATGGTTCCCGTGAGGTTGTTCCTGTCGAGGATAAGATACGCCATATTCTGCAGTCGCCCCAGCTCTGGAGGGATTCCGCCTGTCAGCCCGTTGATATTTAGGCGCAAGTACTCCAAATACTCCAGACCTCCGAACTCCGGAGGGATTTCTCCTGTCAGAAAATTGTTGCTAAGATTGATCTCCTCGATGTTTTTCGGGTCGGCCAAGCTGGTGGGTATGGGCCCCGACAGCCGGTTATTGTGCAGGAAGAGGAATACCAAATTCGGCAGCTTGCCGAGCTCGGCGGGAATGTGGCCTCGGAAGTCGTTGTCGTTCAGGAGCAAGAACTCGATGCCGTCCAGGTTTCTCAGCGGGTCCAGCGTGCCCGTGAGATTGTTGTTCCCTGCGACCAGGTAAAAGAGCATCGAGAGGTTTCTCAGCGGGTCCAGCGTGCCCGTGAGCCTGGTGTTCGCTGCCTCTAGTACCCAGAGCTGCGAGAGGTTTCTCAGCGGGTCCAGCGTGCCCGTGAGCCTGGTGTTCGCTGCCTCTAGTACCCAGAGCTGCGAGAGGTTTCTCAGCGGCTCCAGCGTGCCCGTGAGATTGTTGTTATCTGCGTTCAAGTTAACGAGTAGCGAGAGGTTTCTCAGCGGCTCCAGCGTGCCCGTGAGATTGTTGTTCCCTGCGTACAGTGAAACGAGGTGCGAGAGGTTTCTCAGCGGCTCCAGCGTGCCCGTGAGCCTGTTTTTCCTTGCCCACAGTGAAACGAGGTGCGAGAGGTTTCTCAGCGGGTCCAGCGTGCCCGTGAGCCTGTTGTTCGCTGCTTCCAGGTACAAGAGCTGCGAGAGGTTTCTCAGCGACTCCAGCGTGCCCGTGAGGTTGTTCCGAGATGCGTCCAGCGTTTGGAGCTGCGTGCAGTTGTTGAGGCTGTCGGGCAATTCCCCGTCCAGCCGGTTGCTGCTGAAGCTGAAAACCTGGAGGTTGGCCAGCTGTCCCAGGTTCTCGGGGAGGCCGCCGGTGAACTCGTTTTCCCTCATGTAGAACTCTGTCAGTGCCGTCATGGCCGTCACAGCTCTGGGAAAGCCGCCACGAAAGTTGTTCCCGTCGATGAAGAGCTTTTCGAGCCGATTCCACGAAGTGGATTTCACTTTCAGAAAACTCCCCGTCAGGAAGTTGTTCCCCACGTTCAGAAACTCGAGCTCCGACAGCGACGCCAGCTCCACGGGGAACTCTCCCTCCAGGGCATTGTTTCCCAAGTGCAGATACTTGATCTTCGTCAGGTTGCCCAGCTGGGATGGGATGGAGCCTGTGAAATTGTTCCGCCCGAAGCTCAGATACTCTAGATTCACGAGCTGGCCGTACTCTCTCGGAATGGGACCCGTCAATTTGTTGTTGCCGGAGAAATCCAAGTACCACAGCTTCGTGCAGTTGGCGATGGACTTGGGAATGGGGCCTCTCATCTCGTTCGACCGGAAAGGGTAGTAGTCCTCAATGGAGTCGAACCCATTGAAGAACCCGCCATTGAAGAGGGTGCTCAGGACCAGAACCTCGAGCTCAGAAAGCAAACCCAGCTCCTCCGAAATGAACCCATTGAAGAACTCGCCCTGTGCTCCGATGTAGAGGACTCGTAGGCTCGACATGTTGCCGTACTCTGCAGGAACTCCACCGAAGAGAAAATTGTCGTGGACGTTCAAGGTCTGCAGCCTCTGCAGCCGGCCCCATTCCACTGGAAGCTCGCTCAACAGGAAATTGTGGCTCAGATCGAGGTCCACGAGGTATTCGAGCTTGCTCAACGAAGGACCCAAAGTGCCGTTCATCTTCAGCCCGGAGAAGTTGAGGGAGATCACGTGCAGCTCATCGTCGCAGATGACCCTCGTCCACGAGCAGTAGGTGGACCGATTCCCCGTTGTCCATCCATCCAAAGCGTTGTCCTTGTAGCTTTCAATTTCGGCCTTGAATTGCAGGAGCGCATCGGCCTCCCTGGGACAGTGGCAACACATTGGACTCGTATGGCGTTAGAGATCAATTTCACTCATGCTTGCGCACTGCTATGCACATGCTCGGGCGAAGGACGTAAGCGACAGGTGCATAACTTTGCACGTCTCTATAAGATAATAGCTTGCTGCTAAACGTCACTGACCCGAAGCTGTCTTGGAGCAAAGTACGAGATATTGGTCGGGAGTGTGAAGATTCTTCCAAAGAACGATGGTAAGGCTCATGACGAGTCGTTAACGAAGTGTCGACGGCTTGGTCCTGAAGTCTAAACTGCTGCAGCTCTCGCTGGCTCCTGGGACCGCCGTGTGCTTGTTGCTGGCCCATATGCGCTTCGACGGAGGAAGGCGGAGGAAGTCCACTCTCGATGTTGATGCTGCCATGCTCTTTCCCGGCCGATTCTGCACGTGCATCGAAATCTGGATCCTGGAGAGTCTCATCTAGAGTCTCGATTCTGCTTATTTCTCCGAAGGTGGTATCCTCTTGACCAACGGCGCAAGCACCGAGCTGGAGGCAACACAGCACCAGAATCACCAGCATCCTCAAGCGTCCGCGGAGAGCGGGCAGATCAGGAGAGGAAACGACCGATGCCCGACCTGTAGATCTTCTGAGTAAGTGCATGGTGTCCACCTCCAGAGAAACATAAAACTCAATTCTCCATGTACTCCTCAATCTCCATGCATCGTGGAAATGCGAGACAGCTAGCTAGCCCAGCAGTGAACGACGCTGAGAACTACGTGATTCCCAAAACGTTCAGCCGGTCCACACTGATCTTTCATCATCTGAACTCGGACGACTAGATCGCTAAATGACCAGCCCGGCGTCTCCTCTGACATCGAGCTCCTCCACTTTGGGAAAAGACCTGCCGATGCACATCTCCTGGACGCGGTGACGACCGAAGAGAAGACTCGTTCCAGAGGGCGTTTGACTTCTATATCCTGGAGAGAAGAGAGAGAGAGAGAGAGAGAAAAGAGAGAAAGAGAAAGAATGGTCCTGCGTCTCATGAATGGATGGATTGGAAGGGTCTCTAAAGAGGATGCTGGTGGTCCTGATCACGGCAGCAGTGAGCTGCAGATCTCTTTTCTGGTGCAACTTTGGATATCTTCCGCATGCAGACGTCTTGTGCATCTTGTTCTTCGTTGACTTTAGTTGACTTCGTTGACTGCTGTTGACTTCGTTGACTTCAGTGGCAAGGAAAGTTTGAACTTAATGGTTCATAGGCATAGTTACAGCTACAGAACGTGGCATAGCTTGGTTGGCAGTCTCTGTTGAGATGCTCCAAGTGCACGGGGTTGTGTCCGCATCTGATAACATCAGCGCGAATTCAGTGAACGGTTGCCATTTCTGTCGGTAGTCAGGGCTCAACAGGAATCTAGGTGAACTAGAGAGTTGCAACTGTTTTGATCGACTCCAGACAATGGATGAAATCACGTATTGGCTCCCCAACCTTAAACCAGCTCTTGGCCTCTGATTAGCATCAGCTCAGATGTCGTTCTTTCCATACGCTAAAAAATAAGATTTCAATGTTAAGTGCATAGTTTCTCTACGAGATTTGATCTGATTTCATGTCAGTAAAAGTATTATCAAAAAAATGTACAAAAAAATTTGTACATCATGCATTAATGTAGCTTTTTTTTCCATTCAGCCAAATTGTCATGCATCTACAAAACCAACATACTAAAAAATGTATATGTTTATGTCAACTTTGAAAAGAACATAATTATTATTATGTTATATGACTACAACGTTAACAAGTTGATTTGATTTAGGAATTCAATTAAGTAATCCATATCATTGCTCATCCATATGACCTGTTTAAACTAAATTTTCTTGTAGTATTGTAGAGTTATTTTGGAGCATCGAAATGAAGATGTAGAGGACAATGGATGTTGAAGTTGCAAGTGAGGAATGGCCATGAGCATCGTGGTTCTTGACCGCGGTCGTTGGCCTCAAGCCGAGTTTTGATCTCGACGTACAACGATTCTTTGACCAAAGATGGTCTCGTCGATGGGTTCGACGTTTTCAGAGCTCGTCTGGTCCGCACGAGGAAGGGAACGCAAACCATGTGAAAAATTAGAAGACTTGAAATAGTGAGATTTTGATGCGAAATGAAAACTAAACATAGATTAGTATATTTTTTGCAATAAAAATGAAAAGAATTGGAATATAAGCGACTTCTATAGATCTTCTTGAAATACGGGCTAAAGCCCCAGGCGGCCCTTTCCTGCGGGTCGGGCACTCCGGACCTCTTCCCAATCGGGTCGAGTGTCCTCTCCCGTTGGTCGAGAGCTAAAGTAAAAAAAAAATCTATATTTTTTTTAGATCGAGGGCATCCATCCAATGCATTATATTTTGATACAGTAGGAATTGAACCTACTTCACAGCCAACTAGGCATATCACTTGGATACTCCAGGAATTTCACCTGCTTGACTCCTCCATAAAAATTCTGTTATTATTTATTGCAAAAATCGTTTCTCCAGTCAGTTGAGGAATGTAGCCTTCTATAGTTCTTTTCCCCTGTCTGTCTCACTCCCTTTGAGGTTTTCCATGAAACCATTTGTTATCTCTAGTAATAACTAACATAATTTTTGATCATAGACTTTGGCATGAACAAATTTCATGAAAGTACTGATGAAATTCTCAATGTATCTTCAAATATCTTTCAGATATAGGAAAGTAATCTATCACGATAGATAGTGAATGAAAATTACGGAACTAAAAACTGAGATAGCAATATTTTCATAGATGTGCATGAGAATACTAGATTTTGGAATTCCAAATTTGCATATAAATCGAAGATAAGAAGAATAGAAGTATTATCAAATAAAGCATAATATGATAATTGTATAGTACCAGGTTAAAATCCTGAAAAATAGTTTGACTTGACAAACTCATCCGTTCATGGATCCCATCAACATCAGATCATCCACGTAGACCGTTGAATGGAGTACATCATGTTGTAAGTGTTGAGATAACCAACCGATTGTCTCTATTAATTGGGAAGGTTTACCCTAACACTAAAAACTGTCGAGAGGTCTATTGATAGAACCGACTGACTCTATTGATATAGGATCAAAGAAGGTTTACATTAACCCTAAAACTGCCATATAAATATGTGACTATAAGAGGGTAAGTAAGTGACTAAGTGACTAAACTCATTATTATATGATACTTTGAGAGTATTCAGGAGATCTGAAAGAGGCTTGTTCAATGATTCATTTGTCTCTATATTTTTGTTCTTTCAGTTTCCTTCTCACAACGCTTTATCAGCACGCTTGCTCATTTCAGTTTGCAGTTGACATCATTCCAAGTGTTTTGAGCACAGAGCACTCTTACGCGTGAAGAAGGGCTAAAAGATCGTAAACTACTTTGTGTTCTTGGACTGACATCATTCCAAGTGCTTTGAGCACAGAGCACTCTTATGCGTGAAGAAGGGCTGAAAGATCTTAAACTACATTTGTTGATAGGGCTCCCATCGGGTCAGGTTCTACCTTCGATCCGAACCCTACCCGAAAAACCGGGTCGGGTTCGGGTATCCGGGTAAAATCCGGAAGTTCAAAGTTCATTCTTGAATTTCTTGACATAACTCATGACTCCATTCTTCCGAATTTTGAAAGAGACATATATAAATACTTATATATGCCACGCCCTTCCGCGGGCAATTTCGCGCCAAAACTTTCTCCGATTTTCTTGCTTTCCTAGCTCGGCAGATCTCGAATGTTCCGAAGCAGGCTAACGGCCGGATCACATCGCAGACGCCTTTACCGCGCAATTTTCTCCAGAGCTCAAGGAAGCAAAGTATTGTCGGCGGATATTATCAACCTAAAAGTTTGACTATAACCTATAAAGTTTGAGAAATCACCTTCAATTCATTGTAATCATGCAATATTAAAATCTGGAGGTAGACACATCCCCTTTTCAAACTGGAATTTTTCTTTCAAAGCCCTTTTTATCAACTAGAAAATAAATACTCCAAGTGGATAAATTTTTTTTCTACACTTTATAAAACCAAAAAATGTAAAGTACTCACTAGACATGTGATATAAATAAAAATGTTAATATATTGGAACTAGGATTTTCTGTCACTATTGGGAGGTGTCACTCACCAAAGTAAAATGCTTAACCTTGAGTATAATTTCATAATAGTAACCTTCACCACCAACCCGCAACTTGAACCTATAGAATATATTTGAACCCACGATATCTCTATCAATACACAATATCTCTATCCCTACCTTTCACACTCAAACCGTTGCCAACTTATTCTCCCAAAAACTCAGGGCTTTGGCCATACCTTTCTCACTAAGATACTTACGCCTGACCGGATCGAATGTGGTAACACGGAGTTAGTGCCAGACAAATACTACTCTGATATTTAAAAAATCAGGTTTTTTTCTAGAAAAAACCCAATTTTTATCTAATTTTTTTAGTTAAATAAAAAAAAAGCTAAAAGCACGTAATAGATTTACTCAAGGCTCCAAACCGAATTCAAATTTAAATATACTTAAAGTATACTATATTACTCTTTAATTTTTTTTCTTAATATATTTCAATTAATAATATATTACTTGAATTTTTGAAATCATAGAATAAACCCAATTCTATTTTTGTCTATTTTTCTTGAAAACGTTCCATTAGTTTGCGTTACAAAATATTATGTATACCTTCAGAATTTGATTTCATTCAAATAGTATTCCAATAATTCATTGCTGTTTAAGAAATTATTAAATATTTTTAGAATCATAAAAAAATCAATTATATTTTTAAATATATTTTTTGAAAAATTCCATTATTCTGCATTAGAAATATAATATATACCTCAAGGTTTTTATTTCTTTCAAATGATATTCTGATAATTCCTTCTTCTTTTTTAGAAATTATTAAATATTTTTCAAATCATAAAAAAAATTAAAGCTTTCTTTTATATATTTTTCTTGAAAACATACCATTATTCTGCATTAAAAATACAATATATACCTCAAAATTTTGATTTATTTCAAATAGTATTCCAATAATTCATTTTTTTTTAGAAATTATTAAATAGTTTTCAAATCATAAAAAAAATCAAACATGACTTTTTATATTTTTCTTCAAAACATTCCATTATTCTGCAGTAGAAATATAATATATACCTCAAATTTTGATGTATTTCAAATAGTATTCCAATAATTCATTGTTTTTTAGAAATTATTAAATATTTTTCAAATCATAAAACAAAACCAATTCTTTTTTTATATATTTTTATTGAAAAAATTCCATTATTCTGCATCAGAAATATTATATATAACTCAAGATTTTAATTTCTTCAAATAGTATTCCAATAATATCATTGTTGTTTAATAGAAAGTATTAAATACTTGGGTATACTTTTTTGATATTTTTATATAATGATTTATTATATATTTTTTGACAAAAGAAAATTTATTTTCTAAAATGTTTTCCAAAATTTCATAAATTTTTCTTCAAATCTATCCCAATAATATATTTGGAATATCCATATGGTCAAAATGTTATATTGATGTTGATTTTAGTCAAAATGAAACAAATGAGGTTTAAATAATCTATGCAATTATAAAAAGTAGCCATAAAATCCATAAATACCAACATCATATTCGGAATCATTTTGGATATTTTTAATTGAATAAAATATATTCAAGTAAATTTTCCATTTTACTTTAGATGAATTTGTTATGATTATACATCTATTTTTTTGATACATACTTATCTTCATTCCATCTTTTATGTTACTTTTTCTTTATATATTTTGTTTGTTTCATAAATCAAATCTAACTGTTCGATATTCCCAATATTTATTTCACATGCAATATACACATTAAATTTAATTTTGAAGGGCTCTAATGTTGTTTTAATGTAATAGAAATGCGTACAATGATTTTTCATTCTATTTTCAATTTAAATTCTATAATCATTTATGGAAATTCCAATAATACAAAAAATTTTAGTTAAATTAAAAATCATGTTAGAAGAATTCATTTTAATTTTAAATAAAATTTGAGGTTTTCAGTTGTTAGAAAGTTTTTTTCAAAATATACAAAGTTATTACAATTTGTTGTGATCATCAATCTGAAAGAAAATAGAGTAATTCCTTTTCATTATTTCTCTAATTTTCTGGAATCAACTTATAAATTACAAACTATATTTTATTCGGGTTGTTTTACTTTTTAAAATTGTATTTCATACTTAAATGGTTATGACATTCCAATAGATTTGAATTTTTTTTTCTATAAATGACCTTATTTACCACAAATCTTTCAGGATGATTAAATTAAATTATTATATTTCATTCTTCATAGACATAGTA